TTAACATAAGAATAAAAATAAATAAATAAATAAATAAATAAATAAAAATAAATAAAACGATAGATTCTGGAACCTGAGATTTGGGGGAATCTGTTTTACCTTTTCTGTGCCTTCATTTTTTATGTCTGAAACCGATTAAAAGTAAGAACTTATTTTTCTCTTAGGACCGTATTTTTAAATATTAAAATACTAAGTAATATTAAAACTAAACTCTTTGCACAAAGATTAAAAAAAAAAAAAGATAGATTCTGGAACCTGACTGCCTAGATTTTCAAATCCCAGTTCTGCCATTCAGTAGTGTGAGATTTGGGGGAATCTGTTTTACCTTTTCTGTGCCTTCACTTTTTATGTGTGAAATCGATTAAAAGTAAGAACTTACTCATGACACCACTGTAAGAACTGAATGACTCAATATATGTGAAATCCTTACTATACCTCTTAATATATGCATTAGTTATATTGATTTTGTTTCTCTTTTCAGTAACTATCAACAATTGCCAGACTTTTTCATTTTATAATTATTTTATTTGCATAGTATACTCAAACATTATATATACTCCCATTCATATCAAATAACTCTTGGCATACAAATAAACATTTGCTACAGGGCCTCGTTCTCTGAAACCAGTTTGGAAAAATTCATCCATCCAAAGCCTTGGAAGTCATTTAACTTAAGTACTATATGGCTTAATTACCATAGTGCGGAAGAGAAATAAAGGAAGTCCCTAAGTCTCATGGGGTATATTCTTTTAGATACTTTCAGAAGAAGCTTGGAAGCCTGGAAATAGGGACAACAGCTGTTTTGTTGTTGGTGTTTGCTTCATTCCACCCCCAAAGGCTTGAAATCAATATTCTGTTTTTTTGGTCAAGTTCCTTTTTTGATGAATAAATCTTTTCCACCAAAGTGCTCTATAGATATTTGACCTTTTGGCAGAACCTGGGCGAATACACAAAAGTAGAGTAGTGCCCCAGGATAGTGAATGATCAGAAGGTGAGAGGCAGTCTTACCTCCTCGCCATGCTCCCCATCTTTGTAGACCAGTTCATAGTTGGCAATGGTGTCTGAACGTGGAGGTGTCCAAGACAGCAAAATACTTGTTTCAGACTCAGGTTCTGCTTTGAAGTTTAGTGGTTGCCCTGGTACTAAAAACAGGAAGGCAAAGGACTGAGTTCATCATCACCATGAGTATTCGAAACCCTTCCACTAGTGCATCTGTTTAAACCTCTCAAAATGTGTCCACATGTGTAGCTTAATGGAGAGCTAGGTCCTTAATATTGTTTATAGTCCATTTTTCCTCCTTCAAGGTACAAGAATATTTTTAACACTGCACTTGTTCTTGATCAGTTTAAAATCTATACAAGATGGAGAATTATCAAACACAGAATAGAACATAAATCTGATAATAAATCTGATCTCATGAATAATAAGCTTATTTCATAATATTGTTGTACATAATAAGTGAGATGATTTATATAATACACTTGGAATCAATATTGTCTAAATCATAACAAGTGCTATATACATAAAAACCATTGTTATTTTACAACCGAGAACTTGTTCTCTAGCACTGCATTTAACTTTCAAAATTATTTCCGGTTAGGTTTATAAAATCCCACCTTCACTCCATTAACAAAACCTACTGGTAAACCAGAATCACGTAGTATTTTTCTTACCAACCCACATTTTGAAAAAGAGGTTAAAAAAATATATATATCCCTTATAAATAATTACTTCTAATCCCTAATTTACTTTCTTTTTTAAAAGATTTTATTTATTTGTCAGAGAGGGAGAGACAAAGAGAGAGCACAAGCAGGGGGAATGGCAGGCAGAGGGAGAAGCAGGCTCCCTGCTGAGCAAGGAGTCTGAAGCAGGACTGGATCACAGGACCCTGGGATCACGACCTGAGCTGAAGGCAGACGCTTAACTGACTGAACCACCCAGCCATACCCCTAATTGACTTTAAGTGACTTAATATACTAGGCCTAATGTAAACTTAATATTGTCCCTAGTGAGATGGAGCTAAGTTACTACACAAATCAAAAAGTTTAGAGAATATGTTTATTATCAGACATACAGTAATTTAGCAGATGTCATGTATAATTCTCATATTAGTCATTATAACCCATGCAGTAGACAATTTGAAAGAGCTATGCGTCAGATGTATTAAAAAATGGGACATATATCCAGTTTAAAACACTTTACTCAAATGCTGTATTAGAATAGGGATTACTAACCCCAACCTCCTGGTTAACATCAAATCCCATTAGGTCCTCTATCCCTTACACACAAGGGTAATGTCGTTCAGGACATCACTGGCCCAGCTAACCTTACTTCGTCCTTGGCCAGTGTCTGTCCTGATTGGTTGGTGCCCAGGCCATGCTGGCCATTAACTACTTGGATCATTACCCCTGATATTGTGGCACGTCTTAAAGTGCTATAACTGACCATATGTCCATATTCTCACAAGTATATTCTGTGTGTATTTAATAAAAAATAATAATAATACTTTATACTAGAGGGAAAAAGAACATGTGAAGTGTTTTTGGTGAATGGGCATAAACACTGAAAAACTTAGGAAAAATAATATACTTTGTAACTGATGTATGACTTCAATTTCTTAAATAATACTTGAAGCATCGTTTTCCTTAGTAAGAAGATCTTTGGAAATATAAAATGTTTTATTTTCTTTTTCTTTTATAGTCATCTCTCTGTAATATGACTAAAATAGTCTTTTGTTTAAAAAGAAATCAATGTCTTGGGTGCCTAGGTGGCTCAGTCGGTTAAGCGACTGCCTTCGGCTCAGGTCATGATCCTGGAGTCCCGGGATCGAGTCCCGCATCGGGCTCCCTGCTCGGCAGGG